GAACAATTTTAAATTTCGAGGGAAGGAATTTTTTAAGATAAATTTTTTTTAAGAAATACCAATATTCCGGGCCACTTACTTTTCATTTAAGAATCCACTTTCTCCTTGTCCATCTGATCGTTAGTCAATTATATCGTCTATCATATCGTCATATCTTTTCTAATAAAAGAAAAAAACTTTCAGTTTTCGTGAAATATCTCGGATTTCACGCTACTTATGAAAAAAGTGTAACAGGTTTGTTGCGTTTTTTTCTATTGGAAAACAGTTTTTGGATTGCTTAAAAGAGAGAAGTTTGCGAGAAACAAAATTCGAATTTTGTCGAAACATATGGTGCTCTGTAGAAAGGTTTCTTTTAATACTGATTTGCATACAATTACATCTTCACTAAAATGAGGGCAGTCCACACGCCACAATACGACGCACAAAGATTTAAATCCTAACAAGATCTTTATTGCTCCTCATTAAATTCTGTACAAAAATGAGTCATATGAAAAACCTGCATGTGTAACTCTCGCGAAGGAAAAAGTGAACGTTATGTTTGTAGACCTAAGTAAGTTATATACATGTACAGAGAGTTTGAACAAAAGCGGTTAATGTCGTTCTGAGCTACAAACGATTAAAAATTTCGAAAAATCGCAGTTTTTCATGTCTTTCGGTCTAAAACTAAGATCAATTGAACCATTTTTATATGTTTCGATGTGTTTAACTTTTTTAGACGACATGGTCCGTCCCCATTTCCAACTACTATCTTTCCGCAAGTTTCTGACAAACCTCGAATAATAGTTTAAAAATCCGATTAATGACCTCAACTCTGCAACGCTACGCGGTTCTGCTAACGCTTGTATTGCTCTAATTCGGTCTTCCGAAATATGAATGCCGTTACTATCAATGTCGTTACCTAAGGACGATACACGTGTTTGTGCAAAACTACATTTCTCACGTTTAACTGTTAGACCATACCTTTGCAATCGTGCAAGGACTGTACGCAATCGACTATCGTGCTTGTTTAAAAATGGAATACGTTAATTTCCAAATTGCTTCTCCGATTTAATTGTAATCGTCCGAAATAATAATAATCTCGGAACTGTATTGAGGTTCCGAGAAAGTCACCGCGATAATATAAAAACATAGTTACACGTGCCGAGTTTCTTGCCGGCTCGGTCGTTTTAACGGTCGCGATGTTTAGATTCCGCGACCGGAAAAAGTTCGAATCGAGCAGAGCGCGACGGAGTAAGACGTAGACACGTGCGTGACGTGTCACCTGAGTGCGAGCGAGATAGAAATACCTCGCGATTCCCACCTCGCGACGTCCGAGGTGAAGGACGATTTCGGCAAGACGATCATTCCCTTGTGAGGTTTCCGTGA